CAACAACACTTACTGGACGTCCGGCGCGGAGAACAATTAACGAGATAATGAGAAACTGACGAAACGAGTTGCTTACTTTTAACAGCTTTTTCACAGAAAACTAGTTTTCGCACGTAAGCTCCCTTTTCGTAGACCAGGTCAGATATGTTAAAATGCAGCTAAAAATGTGGTTTTTACATGTAATTACTCTGGTATTAGTGGGAACATACCCTTAACTACATACCTGTCTTGGGCAGTTAGAATGGACCTACTAGTTCCCGAAAATATGCTCTCGAAAAGAGAATACTAAAATTAAAACGTTGATACTGAACGATTTACGTATTGTTATGGGTTGGAACTTGTTACCAGGAGGTTTCTGGGATTGCTAATTAGGATCCTGAAGTCAGTTTTTCAAAATTCTAAATGGCGGATCCAAAATGGCGTCCAATATTTTTAAATATGATTGGATTTGTTCGAAACCAGGAACTCCGGAGTTTTTGGGGTCGGTGATTACGAATCTGAAGTCAATTTTTTTTTAATTCTAAATGACGGACACAATATATCGATCAAATTCTTAAAAAATTACTAAAATTAAAACGTTGATCAATTAAAAAAAATAAAAATTTGATTTGTTTGATGTTAAAATGAATGACACTGTTAGTTTTTCTGAACTATATTTTATTTATATACCAGAATAGATATTGTTATAAAAAAAATTAAGTACTCTGGCGTTTTAAAGTATTATCTGCTACTTAGATTCATAATTTTGCCTTGAATAAAAATGTACTGAAAAGTACTGTTTTTTTTACCATGGAGAAGTCTGACGTACTGATTTTGCGCACAAAAAATCTGGCAACCCTACTCCTGCCACGGGTGCTTTTGCTTTCATGCCGCGTGCCGCGCGGATTCGCAGCGAGCATGGTGCATCCAGAGAATGCAAAAAAAAAATACAATTTATTTGTAAACATAAGCATATTTAGACTATTTAATACAATATTTTTTTAAGTTGTATACATAAATGTGTACATACAGTGACGAACAAAATTATTTGCACAGTGAATTTTTCGCAATATAGCAAAGTTTTTTATTCTTATTTGTTTGCGATATGTTTTAATAAAAATATGCTTCATAAGCCACCATAAAACATAAAAATCAAATCTCCAAACTTTGTGCAAAACTCAGGAAAATTCAATAAATTTGCATACTAATTTGCAACTTTTTATTTTTTAATATTTTTATTGAGCTTTGTACCACGATTGTTCATTAGGAAAAATTGAAAAAGCAACAAAGTCTAAGCGGTAGAAGTTATAGCAGCTTTTTCGGAGATCACCACATCTCCTCATCAGACTTCTTTTTTTCTAGACTTCAGCAGGGATCGAACCTGCGTAATCGATGTTCAAAGTCAGAAGCGTTAACCACTGAGCTATGTACATCCCGTAAACTCTTGTTGCTAATTCATTTTCCTTATTCAACCAACTACTATCAAGTGCAAAAAAAGTTGCAACTTTTTATTCAGATTTCGTAGAAAAATTCTAGGAATGCAGTTTTATAGCCCAATTTTTTACTCAGATTTTTTAGAATTTTTAGTGGTGTGTGTTGCTTATTTTCCCCATACAAAAAATAATTGTCGAACATTCTTCGTATGGAAGAGCCTGAGTGAAAAAATTGCCAAAAATCAACGCGATTTTCTAGTAACTTCAAACTTAGACTTCTTATACTAAAATCGAGTGGGTTATAAAACCGCGTTCTTACTATTTTTCTAAAAAATCTGAGTAAAAAATTGCAAATTAGTATGCAAATTTATTGAATTTTCCTGAGTTTTGAACAAAATTTGGAGATTTAATTTTTATGTTTATGGTGAGCATGAACCATATTTCTTTAAAAAATTATCGTAAATAAATAAGAATAAAAACCTTTGCATATATTTCGAAAAATTCACTGTACCAATACTTTTTTCGTCACTGTATGTACATATTTATTTATGTCTATGCTTATGTTTATAAATAAATTTTTTTTTTTGCATTCTCTGGTTGCACCACGCTCGCTGCGAGTCCGCGCGGCACGCGGCATGAAAGCAAAAGCACCCGTGGCAAGAGCGAAAAAAATTAATACATAACTAGAGACTCCGTTTCCGTATTTTCTTTTCTTTTAAATAATGTATTATAGAATAAGGATTGATATTCAATGTAAACGATTAAGAACGTGATCTAGAAATAATAAATATTTCCATTTGTTTATACAAATTTTTTATAAAAATAAAGTTTTTAATAAAATAATGATTATTTGAAAAATTTAAACAATCAGGCTAAAGCGTGTCTTATTAACTTTTATCATGAAAAATATCAGCAAAAATACATGCTATGAATCAGTGAATAATAAATAGTTACTGAATTCAACAAAAAAAATAACAATAACTCTGGTAAAGCTTCGAATTTTGCAAAATTGCTCAAATTATACTTTTTTATGATTGTAAACCGAATAAAGTGATTTGCGTGAAAAAAT